TCCATCCAGCAGCCAAGCCTGCCTTGCAAGCACACCTCTGCCCTGTGCCATTTTGGTCTCTGTTCATGGGGAGTAAAAATTCCCCCACTCGAACATCTGTCTCAACTGCCAAACACTCAAAGCCTTGTCTGTGAAACTGGAAATCCAGTGAACAAAAGCATAAGGATGTCGTTCTTAGCACGTTAACATTTATTCTCATTCTTTCAACGCTATTTTTAAGTCAAAAATTTACATTTAAACTGATTTTTTTCTCTTTTTATTTGGAAACACTTCAGCAGTATTTTAACATTTTTGATCCATTAAATGTATAAAATGCTATATGACATACTATAGACAGTCCTTAATAAATATTTTAGCATTTTTATCCAGTACTTTTATATGCGTTGACATAAAGCTACTGTGAGGACAGCTGGAGTAATTTAATTTACTTTGTTTACCACTAAATTAGCTCTCCATTCCTAAAGGAAATGTTTATAATGTTGTCCAACTTTCTTACCAACTCCTGGAGGTGGCTGTTACTTTATTTCTCATTTTCCAGATTTGCAAACAGCTGCATATAAGCTCCAGGGTCAACGAGATCCAGTTGTGTGTTTTATACACTGGGATTACATGAAATATTTAGTTTGAACAAAAAGATCATAGAAGACGTGTTTGAAAACCGTTCCCAACACCACGCTTTACTCTCTACATAAATGCAGAGCAAAATCCTCTAGAGTTGTAACATTTCTATTCTCAGTAAAGGGTAATTTAAATTCATTGAAAACACAAATTTCTTAAAATACAGTTAGGTTCTAAAATATTCTTTGAGGCTTAGAAACTGTTTTTATTGCTCACATTTAAATTCTTTTGATTCAAAAAATTTAAATGTATTCATCTTAGCTGAAAGATCTACAATAATAAATCATATTTTAAGGAGACATATACAAGTTTTAAGTTGGTAAATAATGGATATCATGTAGTAAATAAATACATGTTGCCAATAGAGGGACTTGCTATGGTTTTATAATCTAAATTGTAGGGAGTTGACTCCTCCAAGACAACACACAGTTACTAAATCTTAGCAGCACGTACTAAAACAAAAAAGAAAAATATTAATAATTAGACTTGATTATATGATTTCTATGAAAGAATGTGAAATACACTCATCATTACACTGAAATCTTCATAAATGCTAAGTGGTTATATAGGATTTAGAACTGAAACTGTGTTATCTGTGTAACTGTCCATCATGACGGTTTTTTCATGAGGAGTACACAAGAATCATTTCAGAGTGGGAAGAAGGTAGTCTACAGTGTAACCCTTTGCACGGTGCCAAGGGGGAATGATTCCATTTCTCTTCTTTGAGTATGACCCTCTTTCTGGATGTAGAAAAGTCTGATATTATTGTTTATTGCTTTAGAATTTTGATGAATGTACATAATATACTTTGAGGATATCAATTCCATATTTCTCATACAACTCCTTCCAATGATACCCCCATATCCTACTGCCAATTTCATGTCCTCCTTCCATAGCCCCTAAGATCAACCAGTGTTGTCCATATATGCAAGTCTCTAGAGCCATTCCTAGGGTATGTGCGTTCTACCTGAGGCCGCTTCCCTGAAAATCGTTGACACTGGCTACCTCAGCTGTCTTCAGTTGTCAAAGCACCTCAGCTGGGGTTGGAGCTCATGGTATTCTCCTCCATCTACGCTGGGATTCTAACTGGTTTTATCTTGTGCAAGTCTCATGTGAGCATCTGTAGTTGTTGCAAGTTCCTGAGTGTAATGGCTCTGGCATGTCCAGAAAACACTTTCTTAGCAATCCTCCTCTACCTCTGGCTCTTAACATCCTTCTGCCATCAGGGGTGTAAGATCCAGAGGGGATGGGAGGACACCAAGAAAACAAATCTTTCCAAAATCAACATGAGCAAAGCTCTTAAGAACTCACAGAGACCGAAGCAGCATACACAGGGCCCACACAGGTCTGCATCAGGTCGTCTGTGTATATATTATAGCTTCCAGGTTAGTGTTTTTATGGAGTTCCTGAACATGTGAACAAATTGGTCTCTGATTCTTTTGCCTTCTCTTGGGCTCCCTTTTCTTCTGTTTGTTTGTCTTGGTCAGCTCCAATGTGTTCGTTTTTGTTTTGTTCCATTTCATAGTATTTTAATTATCCTTTTGATGCCTGTTTGTTTTCTAATCAGAGAGAGAAAGGGAGTGGATCTGCATGGCTGGGGAGGCGTGAAGAAACTGGGAGGGAAATTGTAGCCAGGATATATTACTTGAGAAAAAGGTCTATTTTCAAAAAAAGTAAGAAGAGAGAAAATATTGCTCCTTCCTCTTCTGGAATGTCTGTTGAGCTATTTGGGAGGGAGTGGGGTATAGAAGTCTCAAGTAGGGCTAGACATTTCATAGTTACTCTGTCTGTGTGTTCTGACCACTTGTGGGACAGATACCTAATTTTAGTTACCTTACGTAATTTAAAAATTTTCTTTTAGTTCCATCTTGTATTGAAAATTTGAATTTGCCAATATAACATAGATGAAGAAGAGGGTATGACTATACAAAATAGAGATGTAGATGTAGAAGTATTTGCCTGAATGTTGAATGTTTTTGTATCTTCCAATTTGAAGTGTTTTGACTCTTCACTAGTAACTACTTAGTGTGGTGTTAGTATGGTAATAGATCAGGAAAAATACTTACTGTCCAGTTGCTACGTTACAAAATGGGATATATGTTCTTGTAAGAATGTAATTACACTTTTACTTGTAAATTTTAAGAATAACAGAAAGTTGTTTTGGTTTTTGTTTTTAGAAAACATATTTCTTAACCTGCCTGAGTCCCTTCTAGCTGGTGGAGTACAGGATGTTTGTGGAAATAAGCTTTACACAATTGAGTAGGTAGAGAGGGGATACTTTTAGACAAACATGCAAAATAGGGAAAGATGTCCATAAAGAAATGGTGCCATAGCCTCACTCATTAGAATACAGGTTTATTGTTTGAGATTGGACTGCGAATCTATGGGGATCAGAACTTTCTAGGTGCAGGCCAGGAGAATGAATGCAAAAGAAAGCATTAAGGAAAAATTTTCACTGGATGAAATTACTAAAATTCATGCTAGACAAAGTCAGAATAGTTTATGAATTCCGGATTGTCAATGATGATGCACATCAATGCATAGTCATCTACCATAAATTTCTAATAAATCTGCCTTGTAATTTCAAAAGAACTCTTAAATCTGATGCAGCAAAATTTTATTTCTGTTTAAAACAGTAGTATAATGTGGAAAAGTAATTTTGTTACTTTTGTTCCTTTTTTAATTAAAAATAATGTTTTATGCAATATAAATATATCTGATCATTATATTTTATATAACCTTTTTCTTTTTATTCTGAAACCTNCACATATATACATTGTATATATATAAAGATTTTATATATATATATTGCCATGTGTATATGTGTGTGCCATTCACATATAGACACATAATAAATGTATTTAATTGTTAAAGATTCAGATAAATCTGATAGTTATTGAAATCACTAAACAAGCAATACTTTGTTATTGAGTTTGGAGATTACTCTATTTTAGTCATTAAAAGTGTGGTGGGTTATTTGGCTAGCGTATTAGTCTATGATGTTGCTGTTCACTGGAGTGAATAAGTGGTCCCGCAGGTGAGTTCCCGCAGTCCTTCATGGTCTAAAAGCTTTTCCTCCCTCCATTTTTGTTTACGTACAATTTTTTTATATTCAGATGTTGATGTAACTCTGAATTTTATAGTTATTATGTAGTAATGATTGCTTTTATTACTTCAGGTCAGGGCATATAATACGTACCAGAAGGTGAACCAAAGAAAATAACTCGTTTTGGGGGGGAAATTGAGGCATATATACATAGATACTCATAAAAGATTGAGGAAGATTTCAGACTAAGTTAATCGTTCAAGGAAAAGGAAAGACAGTTGGAACTGAATAGCCTGCTCTGTGCTTCTCCAGACACATAGCCCTGCGTGTAGACTATGTCTGCAGAGTCTCTCCATCGAATCTCTTCCCACAGTTTCTACATTTCTGAAACAGACTCAGACTTGCCCTGTTAAGGATCAACAAAAGAAATACAGCAAATCCCTTTTCTTCTTACATCATCTTCCAGGGTTCCGCCAGAAATTGCGATGAGTCAGGCTTTCTATCCGAAAGGTCACACATACGGGCTACTTCGGAACGTAAAGGATGTTCAGAATGCAGCCATTCTTTCCCACTGCCTAAGCAACAGACCAAGTCATCTTCTAGAAGCAGCTAGCACAGGGGCAGTGGCACTAACAAATGCCTTTTGTCTGCTGTGCAGAGGCACAGTGGATTGTGTCGTGTTAGGCTCCATCAGCTACCTAATGCAATGTAACTGGGGAGGTAAGATAAATCAAGGGGACGACACTATATTAGATTTGAAAGATGAGAGCTCCTCCAGAGTAATTGCAGAGTGTATATTTCAGTGCTGTTGACCTCAGGAGGTTATTGAAGTCAAGAGTCTGAGCAACAAAAACCAATCTTTCAAGAGCTAGGTAGCAAGTAAGTAGAGTCAGGCTTGCTTCTTTTAAATGAATTTCCCAAGGAAAAGTGAGATTCACCCACGATATCTTTTTAAATGTAGTTTTTGTGTATAGCTTCATTATCTACCCAACGAGGGGTTATACTTTTTTAAATAAACACATGTAATGTGCATTGTGTATTGGGTAGAGAGATGTACTTTACTGCTTAATATTCTTTTCATCAATTGCTAAATTGTCCTGAATGGAAACGTCTACAACTTGCTGAAATGGGTCATTTATCACTGTAGCTGTGCCTCTACAAAGAGAGCCTTGTTACTTCAGTGTAAGGATTTGGTTATTATTAAGGAACCTGATATGATTTCCTCTCTTAAACCACTCTACGCCTCCGTCCTTTCCATGTATTCTATGGACTGACTTTCCATTTATGAAGTGACAGATGAAGACATACACTCTAATTGACGTCTTTCTTTTTCTAGCCCACGGTGTGTGAGAGAGAGCTGTGTGTATTTGCTTTCCAAACCCTGGGGGTAATGAACGAAGCCGCTGATGAGATAGCAACTGGAGCTCAGGTACTCCCGCTAATTGGGTCTTACTTTCATGTGAGAAGCTGGTTCAGTCTACTGCTGTGTTCTCTACGCTCTTCTTCAGGGGAGAGTGCCCAAAGCTTCTTGCTGAAAAAGATCTGGCACTTGATTTTTGTTTCACCCCTTTTAGATCTGTGTTTTGTCATTTTGCAGTGGCCTAGGGGGGAAACTAAGCAATTTTCTTTTAAAAAGAATTGTCTTGCATGGTTTTAAAAAAAAAGCCGTGAAGCCGTGTGTGTGTGTGTGTGTGTGTTTCATATATTTGTACTCGTTTTGTTTGGCTGGTTTTGCTTTTTGGTACAGTTATACTTCCACACAGTAGAAGCCTATTTATTGTATCCTATTTATCTATCTGGAGGGTTTCCCTATGTAGCCTGAGTGTTCTGGAACTTGCTATGTAGATCTGGCTAGCCTCCAACTCACAGAGATTCACCTATCTCTGCCTCCCAAATGCTCTGATTGAGGGTGTAGCCCACTGGACCCATCTTTTTGTTGTTGTTGAATACAGGGTTACATCGGGCCATGTTCATTGAGACAGGATCCTATTCTGTGGTCCAGACTGGCCTTGAGTTGAACTTGTAAACCTACCTACTGCCTTGGTGTCTCCGGGGCTGGGATTATAGCCACGTTCCACCATGCTCCATTTACTGTGCATTTTAAAAATGCCTGTGTAAAATATTTGTGGACACAGCTTTCCCTGTTCATATCCACAATGAGTTACATCTGTTCCAATGAGTTCCTTCCAGCCAGACAGTAGCATTTTTCTTCATTCCGTTTCCAGAAACAGCACGTTCTTCTGGGAACTGAAGAAGGGAGGTAGCTTAGCATAGACAGTACTGGCTCCTTGTAAATCGGCAGAGGGATCATTGAATACATAGCAACTAAGCCATTGAATTTAACAAAGATCATTAATAGCTCTTGACAGAGGAGAGAAACAAGAGGCGAGGTGACTTCCTGAATTTGCTTTTCCTAGAATATGGCAAACTCATCATGGCTGTTTGGCTTTTCCTAACTTGGGGCAATGTCCTTCCCTATAGAACCAGGTCCCTCTCCCCAACCTCATATTCAGATCTGTGTGATAGCTCCAGAACTGCCGTACTCACTATGGTCTAATTCTGTTATCATTCCATTAAATAAAGCCAGAGATTGCAAAGATGGCTATTCCTTCAATTGCTCTGTGTTTGTATGTCTTGTCTATTAGACTGCACCCAGCACCCTCTCCCAGACCTGTCTTGTTCATCTTACCATATAATCCAGAGCACACACTGTGTGCTCATGACAGAGACAGACAAACTTATGAGCAATCAGAGGCAACGCATGCTTGTTATTTTGAATCAGTGGTCCCGTTTGGCCACGTTTGGTATAAAATCATGAAGAACATATTTGAGAGGAGGGTGACAGACCTGGGACTTCCTTGTTATATTGCGCTACCATGAACAGGACAGACATCCACCTGAAACTGTCAGGTGACTTATCTCTCGTGTTTTTCAAGGTGGTAGATTTATTGGTGTCCATGTGTAGATCTGCGTTGGAATCTCCTAGAAAAGTCGTCATTTTTGAGCCATATCCTTCTGTGGTAGATCCTAACGACCCTCAGATGTTGGCCTTCAACCCAAGGGTAAGTGGTCAGCCCCAGCCACCAAGCTCGGAACTTCCGAGAACCAGGATGGAGACCTTAGTCTCATAGCTGCTTTCCCTTTGAATGTTTGTCTGGTTGAGTGTATCCATGGTAAGTTCAAGGTCATATCCTATGTTTAAAGATTCTGTAATATCCTCAGAATATAAGGAATGTTATTCAGAGGACCACTTTTCCTTTTCTTCCTTATCACCTTGACATCTCCTGCTGTTCTTTCCCACCCTTCTCCTCAAAGTTAACAAGAGTTAAATCTATACTGTTAAAAAACACACATTTCTTAAGAAAACCATTTCCTAAACACGTATGGCAGAGACTTTTTGAAATAACAGAATTTCAGATTGATTGAGAGCCAAAATTGCTTAGTTTATATTATTGTTCATCTCAAAATTCTGTTAGAGGAATGACTGTATAATGCCCCTCAGCCAACCTGTCCTCCTTTGTTAGCTTTCTGCATAGAAATGAGGGATCATTTGAGCACATATTGTCATCTTGCTTTGGGTAACAGTGTTCCAATCTAAGATTAAAGCACTTGGGAGATTTGAAGTATATCTTCTTCCAGAAGGAGTCTGAGCTTACTTTATTGCTTATTGCTTTGGCGTGGGGGAAAGCCAGGCTCAAGGGCCCCAAATCTTTCTGTATTTGAAGATTTTTATCCCAGGGAGGTGAGCATGATTTTGTGCCCTTATGTAAGGCATACCGCTTTAGTTTTTCTTCCCTGTGATTCTAGAGATCAACCCTCCTTTCCTTATTACAGGTTTCTTTTATGTACCATTGTTGATTTCACAGTGCCTTTGATGGAAAATGCGTGTATAGAAATAATATTTTTCTCTAGCGATATGTAACTTGCAAAGGCTTGTAGGTGAAGAATGCTTTTTCCTTTGTCATACAGAAGAAGAACTATGACCGAGTAATGAAAGCTCTGGACAGCATCACTTCCATCAGAGAAATGACACAGGTAAAAATCTGGTCTTATGCTTTTCTGCCGTTCAGTCCACATGAACAAAATCTTAAAATGTCTTCAGAACAACACTGTTACAGAATGCTCAATTTTCTTCTCTACAAGACATAATTAAAATCATAAAATGTGCTAGGATGGTTTAATTCAATTCTGTCAGTGTCTTGTTGTGCTAACACTGGGTTTTAAAGAATAAATGCATAGTTGTAATCTTAATATTTTGTTCTTAAATTTGAGTAAAAGCCTTAAGTGTTTGAAGTTACACAACAGGATCTTTTAAAACAGTGTCTAAATCTAATAAGTCCCACCTTCAGTATTACCCGATGCTAATAATTATTTTGATTGTTAAAGTAGACAGAGATTTGGGACACTTGAGACTGGGGTTACATGTGATGGTGTTACATCAAATCGGACTACAAATTTTCTTTGTTATTGGATGTGTGTGTGTGTGTGTGTGTGTGTGTGTGTGTGTGTACATGTGACCTTGAACTTGCTCTGTAGCTAAGGATACCTGGCACTTCTGATCTTCTTTTGTCTATCTCTTAAGTGATGGGGTTATCAACATAGACATGCCACCACAATAGCTCTAGAAATATCCTTTCCCTCCCTCCCTCTCTTTCTCTTCCTGCTCCTTCCTGTGTATGTTCATGTGATTTCTTCAGCACCCTAGAATTATTTTTAAGATCCATTTTTCAGGGGTGGAGAGATGACTCAGTGGTTAAGGGAACTGACTGATCTTCCAGAGGCCTGGGTCAATTCTCAGCACCAATATGGTAGTTAATAACTGTCTGTAACACAAGGTCCAGTGGATCTGACTCTCTCACAGGGCATATATGCAAAGCAAATATTAAGGGACATGAAATTATACTAAAAAATTAAAAATTTATCAAATACAGGTGTAACACAGACCCAATAGCCACTTTGGAATTGATAGTCACCGTAGGAGTGTGGGCTTGTGTTTCTTGTTCTCAGGTAGGCTCTGGTGGAAAGGTGTACTAAATGAAGATTTAGATTTGTCATGAAAACTTACACATCCTTGTGCTACAGCCTAGCATGTGGAGAAAGTTTTACTGTTGAAGCACTGAGGCCTTTTCACTGTTCAAACATTGGAAAGTGGTCTAAAAGTCATCATCATGATTCAAAATGAATAATCCAAAATTTACAGTACATGTTGTGCACAGCTTACACGTGTCCGTTCTAGGCTGCTTTGGGCTAGACACCTTTGGATGTATGATAAGAATAACCTGGGGTCATTCCTTCTCCCTGTGGAAAAAGAAGTCGTCTCCTGACCAGGTTCCCCGAGTTTCTCTCTGCTCTACCCCTCACCCCAGTGTTCTCTCTGGTCCTCTACTGGAGACATTCTCAAATGTACACTTCACACTTCTGATTTTTGCCCTTGATTCCTTTGGTCATTATTTATTCATGATGACCAGTATTCATATATTAATTTGTTCATTCATCTGTTCTTTTCTCCATTCCCTCAACGGTCTATGTTAGACAGTGGGCCATATGGGATTCCTACTTTACGGGTGATATTATTTGCTTTAAGTCTCCCATTTCTTTTAGTGACTGTTCTGGGTTCATAGTTTGCAGTATCCTCTGAATTCTTTTACAAAAAAAAAATAAACCCACTTATTCTATGAGGAAAGAAAAGAAAAAAATTGCATTTTTCACAGGAATAAGAAACAAGAAATAATATCTCATCTATGTGAAGATAAATATTTTAAGTCATGATAAAAGTTTTACATAGGGTATTTGTACTACACTCTAGTGTCTAGACCCATATATCATTCTCAGATTTAAACATGGCTACAAACTCTGACTGTAGAATCTTCTCATGGCCAAAAATTGCTTTCTTTATTGTGGGTCATGTGTAAGCTGTTTTTTAACAGAAGACAATAGAGAAGTTGAAGGATCAGCCTAGGAATCTAGGGGCCAGAGTTGCATAACTGCCTCAGCGTGATGTGGCCCACGACCTCGAGCAAGTTGCTTAGTTCCTTGGAGCCTCAATGTCTTCAGTATCCAGTTAGGAAAAGTCACTCGGTGTTTTCCTCCCGCAGAGTGACGGCATCGGCATGCTGTCAGGTTTTATGGAATCAAATTCTTTATGCTTTTCCTCAGTCATACACTAACCGATGTTTTAAAGCCCTAGATAGCTCTAAACTGTTGTAAAGAAGTTGTTCCTTTTTTCTGTAATAAAATGTTTAATTTGATAGTAATTTCCATTTAATTTCTCTTGGAGAAGGGTTCTTACATAAATTGTGCTCAGTTTTCATATAGAAATACATGAGGTCTGTACGTTTTCCTTTAATATTAAAATAAAAGTGTCCAACAACAATGAGAAACATTGCAGAGTGCTTTGTTAAGCTGTGGGCATTTTCTCCTTTGAGCACTGCAGTGGGCAAGGAGCTGAAGTCTAAGCTGAACTTAACTATATTCCTTCAACCCCAAGAGGAACAAGTCTTATGAAAGGAACTGAAGGAGTTACGAGGAAGAGAAAATTGTGGGCATAGAAGGGTGGGATGAGGGCAAAGAAGGAGAAATGGGAGATCATGGAAGAGGCTAAGTGGGAAATCACTGGAAACAGTATGGCGAAGTGGGAGGATACAGTGTGTGCTGTGTGGTAGCTTTGCATCACCTTAAGGGAGACAGAGGATTGTGTGCGTGTGCGCGCGTGTGCGCACACGTGCGCATGTACACACACACACACACACACACACACACACACACACACGGGTGTTAGGGGCAGGGGTTCATTCACCTCTAGTATTCTAGTGAAGGTGGAATCCAGGCTAAAATTGGATCAAGTCTTTGTTTTTAATCTTCTGTTATTTTTAATTTAAAGAAAATTGCATCATTTAACTCTCTTCTCTCTCCTCTGTCCAATTTTTTCTATGTCCCACCCCAACCTTGCTCCCTTTCAAGTCATGAACTCTTTTTCAATTACCATTGTTTTATATACACATCCCCCCCCCACACAGGTAAATATATGAACACAACCTGCTGAGTCTGTCTAGTGTTTTTTACATGTTTGTAGGACTGACCACTGGGATTGGAAAACCGCTTGGGTGACTCATTCCCAGAAAGACTAATTCTCCCACTCTTAGTAAATATTAATTGCCTGAGGCTCTTCCACCAAGGGGTGGGATCCCAAGAGATTTTCCCCTTCCACACTGGCGTGTTTAGGCAGCCATATTTTTGCGATTTCGTGGATGTGGTTTCCTTGTCATATCTGGAGGCACAATCTCTCAGCAGGCTTCCTGAGCCCTTTCCTACCATGTTCCCTGAGCCTTAGGTGTAGGGGTTGTGTAGTAGATTCATCAGTTGGGGCTGGAATCCTCATGATCAGTTATCCTCTGCATTTTGATTTATTGTGGCTTTCTGTAATAATCTCCATCTGTTGCAACGAACAGCTTCTTTGCAAGAACTACACTTACATAAGGGTATAAGTATTCATGATGCAGTTAGACAATATACAGGTTTAGGAAGGTGGCCTCTATAGTCCACGGCATAGTGAGGCTATGGGTAGTGTGGTTTGGTTTACAATACCACACACATGAGATCCCTCTTTTTGAGGAGGCTTTAAGTCCAGTTAGATGGCTGATGGAGGAAGGTCATTGGTTAAAAAATAAAGAAACTGGCTTGGCCCATTTTATTGGTTAGAACATAGGTGGGTGGAGTAAACAGAACAGAATGCTGGGAGGTAGAGGAAGTGAGCTCAGACTCGACAGCAAGCAGTGTTTAAAAGAATACAGTTTGTGTGTTGTTATTTCGGGGCATAAGTTAGTCAGGCGGCCGGGGTGCCAGGGACGCAGCCCCGCCGCTCCTATTACTACAGATGGCTATTGGTTGTTATCAAGATCTTGCACCGTTGTGGATATCTTATCTTGCTGGTTATTGATGCAGTTCATAGGCTTCATAACTGTGTAGGACTACTGATTGCACTTCTCCTTTGGCAATTTTAATAACTCCATTTGGTACTATGAGAGCTAGTCCTTGGAGAGGAGGTTTTCAGGTCAGATACAGCTCAGGTCCTCAGAGTCCTTTGTTCAAAGTGCATCGTGTCTTCAGCAATAACCTTCAACTTCTGAGAAGTAACCAAGGACATCAGTAATAGCCTACATTGCTTTAGGAGTCTCTTGGGCTCCCCTGTTGGTCAAGACTCTTAAATCTGGCAGGCTAGACCTTTCATATGCTGCCTAAAGTACATTCCTTAGCCCTAGTGTGAAGGAGGGAATTTGCTATTCTCTGCTGTGTCTTTATGGTTTTTGTTTTAGATAAACGAGGCTTTTCAGTCTGATTTTCTATTTGTTGAGAAAAAGTGGGTTTTAGAGACAAATGAAGGCATGTAATTTTATCTTGCAGGCACCCTATCTGGAAATTAAGAAGCAGATGGATAAACAGGACCCCCTTGCTCATCCGCTTCTGCAATGGTATAAAACTGTACTTTGCCTCTCGATAAAAATCAGTAGCATTTTCTGCGTGTGTGTGTGTGTGTGTGTGTGTGTGTGTGTGTGTGTGTTTTAAGGAGGGGGGCTATTTTATAAGTCTGGAAAGCTACAGTTCTACAAGCCTGTGAAACCTGGTGAAATTTTTTCTACCAAAGAGTCCTTAATGACTTACTTTAATTAAAACTTGTATATCATGAGAGGAGGAAGGCCCTGTCATGTGCACAAGTAGGAACATACAATGCATGTGACAGCCGTTGGTCTACAGTCTTAAAGGATCCGTTTCATTCCATTATGTTTTGAAAGCATTTTGGTTCATTTTAATTTCCTACTTCAGTGAGGACTCAGTGACAAAACTGAAACCTTTGCAGTGAAGATCTTGAAGTATGCTTTGTATATTTTGCATTCTTAACAAGGCCAGTAAAATTTGATTGACTCTTTGCCTGAAGAGAGGTCACAGCATTCAGTCCAGCCTGGATTCTTGGGGGACAGTTCAGCAAACAGGAAAGGTAGCTCGAGCACACGCTTTGCTTTGATGCCTGTGTCAAATAATTTGTCCTCTTTCATTTGCAAAGTGGAGACAACAAGAGTTTATAATGGTTTTGTGTACATGACTCTTGGAAATTGCTTAAATAGACTTACCATCGTTATCTTAGAGTAGTACAAATGCACAGACTACAAGACACTGGTCTAGATAAACGCTGCAGGTGGCAAGCAGTGGAAGTTTTTATAAATACCATTAAAGGGAAAAGAGCCCAGACTCCTCGGGTTTCTGATTACCTTTGCTTAGTCAAAATTGTATAAAACACATGGTCTGATAAGACTGTGACAAACTTTAGGGAATGAGATTGACCTTGTTTGTATCCATTAGTATCTGTTATTAAAATCCTGACAGATGAGAAAAATAACTCTTTCTTAATGTCTCACATTTTCTCATCATATTAGAGTTAAAGTGCGAAAATAACAGGAATTTGGGGATGGCCTCTTGGTACAAGGGAAATCTGGTTCCTGTCTTAGGGTTCTTAGACTCATTAATAAAGGAATAAAAGGGGCTCAAACAAACACAAACAAACAAGCAAAGAACAGGACCAGGAAGCTATAAAACTCAGCAGCAACCTGGGTGGGTGGGGGTATGGGGATGAAGGACAAAATGAAAAAAAAAGGCCTTGCTATTTATATTGGCATTGATGTCTCAAATACATGGCAGACAAGCAGTCATATGATGGGCAGGCAGCTTTAGAGAAAGATGAAGAAGGCTCAGACGGTGTGGGGAAAGCCCAGATGTTAAGGAAATCATGCTTCGGAAAGAGATGGGAAGAAGTTACACTTTTTTGAATAAGAGAAGTGAAAGAATACAATTTTATCTTAATGCCATGAGGCGCCGGTAAAGCTACTGCGTTGGGTCGGGGGTTCTGGGAATGAAAAGTGTAGTATCTCACTAAAACACTGGTTATTTTTATGTCTGTGGCATGTTTTAGCCTGCCCTCCTAAGAGTGGTCTCTTGGCCAAGTGAATGACTATGTCCAGCTGGAGTACTAGGTCTTAACCCAGGCCAGGAATTATATTCGCGATTAGATGTTTTTTTTTTCTCCTTAATCTACTAATTTGACTTATATAATTGTATTCTTTTTTTTCTCCTTGAAGTCAGCCCAAATCCAAATTTTCACTAATTTTTTTATCTTTTTCTCCAGTTCAGGGAGAAGAATGTAATCAAACCTTTTATAGTCATCTCTGCTATTTTGTAATTTTTTTTCACATATCTGGATTAAATGGTCAACTTCAGTATCTAAGTATGTTGACTTTTGTGTAGAAGCCACTGACCACTCAGAAATATCCTTACGAGTTTCAACAAACAGAATCTTTGTGGAAACACATTTTTAACGTAGGAGATGTAGGAATCAAAGCAACCAGGTGCCTGAATCTACTTCTCATTTGAACTATCATTATTTGAGAGTATTGAATGTCTTAATATGTTCATTTTGCTAATATCTGGGGTTGTGCTTATGAAAAATGACATATTCACAAGTTTTGTGGAGCTGCTTCCCAGTGAGTTTTCTCAGACGAAAGTGTCTTTTTTTTTTTTTTTTTGTTATGTAAGCTCCTTAGATTGCGTTAGTAAGTAAACCACACTTATGTAATCGACTGAGAGGCAGAAAGTTCGGTGGTGCAGCCAAACCACATTTCAATCCCTTGCTGACTAGCTTATAGAAAAGTCAATACGTTTGCCACCTAGTCGTGACCGACTGATCATTTCCCTTTCAGGGTCATCTCAAGTAATAGGTCACATATCGTGAAACTGCCAGTTAACAGGGTAAGTTTTATTTTCCTATATGCTTCCCGAAATGAGAGAAGGTGTTAGTTGAGAGAGCTGACCTCTGTGGCCCTGCAGGCAGCCTGTCCAAGGGTGGCTAGGACTAGTTTCATTCTTCAGCCTCAGTTCGTGTAGCAGCTGCAAACCCTTCCAAGACTCAAACCCGTATTCAGCCCGCACCTTGCCTTTTAAATAAACACAAAGAAATCAGCATGAGAGAATGTAGTCTTCCTACAAGAGTCTGTCAAGTGGTGTCTAGGGAGAGACTGGGAGAATACTTGATGTTCCCGGTCTGCCTTCCAGTATTTGAGGAGGACTGTCAAACACCTTGCTTATCAGCCTAAGTGGTGTTTAAACAATGGTTTTAAAAAGCTAATGGGCCCTGGTTGCAGTACTCATCAGCGCCTAAGAGCAACGTTTAAAACTCTTGTCTCCCTGTTTTCGAATCTCTGAATCTCCGCCCAGAAGACTGCAGCCGGTTACATTCCTGTACGAGTAGCCGAGGTGAAAGGGAACTGATGAGGGAGACTTGTCAAGCCGTTCCCCTGATCACTTTTCACTGTTAAAGAGCGAAAGCGTGCAAACAGAGCGGAAGGACGATTTTCATTTTAAAACTGGGAATGAAGTTTTCTGCTTAGCAAATTCCAGAATGTTTTCTCTGTGGGGTGGCTGATACTTACCCATGGAAGTCTACAATAAAAGCCCTAAGAAGAAATAGAATCGAGAAAATTAGGACAGCATAGTGGAATATGAATATCGACATCTATTGTTTGCCTGTTATCTATTGCTTCCCCACTAACCTACAGAAGTTGTTTCCTATGGTAATTCCATGTGAGGTATAACTTAAGGAGGGTTCTAAAAATTACGTAGCTTTTGAACTAGTCTGAGAAGGTTATTAGTCTGTTTTGAAACTGGATAACTTGGGTAAAGTCTTGAGCTGGTGGGATTCTGACATGCTATTATTTGCTATCGCCTTGGATGACAGCAACTGAAGTTCATGCACACCCCACACCAGTTCCTCCTGCTCAGCAGCCCACCAGCCAAAGAGTCCAACTTCCGAGCCGCTAAAAAGCTCTTTGGGAGCACGTTCGCATTTCAGTGAGTACGGCTGGGAGAGGCAGGGTGGGCTCCAGCTCCTCTTCCTGGGGGTGGGGCAAGAAAGCAGTGTCCCCAAAGCTGGCGTTGACCTCAGTGAATCAGCTGTAGGAATGTCTAACTGGGAGGCTCAGAACTTTCACATGTATCATGACTTAAGAATTGAGCCCAGCTGTGAAGATCATTGACTTTCTGGCCTTGCCCTTTCCCTCCCCGCGGCTGTGTTCTTTCTAGTGGCTCTCACATTGAAAACTGGCACTCTATCCTGAGGAATGGTCTGGTGGTTGCCTCTAATACGCGTCTGCAGGTAAGATTTTTGCATGCTTTTTTTTCTTCCCTAATAGGAGGAGCACCTTTATTCCTACAGTGGAGATGTGTGAACTTCAAAGCATTTATTTAAAATAGTATATGGAATTTCTAAGAAAGATAAATATATTTTCACAAAATAACTGAAGCAAATTGATCTATGCTTGACGATGAAGGATTCTTTAGGAGAAAAAGTGAAAGCCACACTTTGAAAGTAAAGCCCTCCAGGTATCCAATCCATTATTCCATTATTGCTTTGGGCCCTCTAGGGCAGAAGGAAGGCATTATAAGCAAAGGAGATGTGGGTTGCCAAAGATGCATGGTGCCTGTTTCTCAGCCTGGAGCACAGGGCTTGGTATTATCAATATATTATGGTTGGAACCCCGAACTCTGCTATACTCTTTATTTTGTTTATTCCTCTTCAAACCCATCCCTCCAAATTGTTCCCTAGGCAGCACAAAGCTGTGAGGAAAAAAGCAGGTCACTCCAGTCGCCCGAGGCAGTTGTCACTGTGCAGCAACCACAGGGTGACAGAATTAGCTATGCATGCCTGCAAGCCTGAGCCCATTGACTTAGTACCGAGTTTTTACGACTAGTGTTTGAGGGCCCTAGAGCTTAGAAATGAGAAAAAAAAAAGAACTTTAAATGTTGTGAGTAGGTTCTTTAGACCACTCTGAATGTTCCAAATACTAAAGCTCCTTTTAACTTGAAAAATCCAGTGGAAGAGTGGAAAGGCACGTGACGTACATAACAAATCGGAGCTGATACTTTGTTCTTATTGTGGCTTGTGAGTGTTCATAAAAATGTCTTTCCATGCACTTCAGCAAGTCTTGTTGCTAGAATTTCAGATGCATTAAAAGAAGAACTCGCTAAAGTCCTTTGTAACGAGAAACTCTATTACTGGCAAAATGAACAACAGTCTTTGTCTCTTTTTCATCTCATTTTTTCACCAACTTACTCCAAATATGATAGTAACAATATTTTCACATTAGACCCGGAATAAGTGTACTATCATTTTTCTAAGACATTATGTTCCAGCATGAAACCAATTGCCCTCTTCTGTATGATACTAATTCAGACCGTTGACTTGACATTTCTCTCTCATATCTGACGTAGCTCCACGGTGCGATGTATGGGAGCGGGATCTACCTTAGCCCAATGTCAAGCATATCGTTTGGTTACTCAGGTAATCCCGTGTTTCACTTCTAATCTCCTGTTACCACTTTCATGACTGGAATAGATTAGATATGATTGTGTTAAATTCATCTAACACTAGTCATAATGTCCAAAGGAAATTTCTTCCTAATATTTTAATGAGATGGGGGATGTTGGAGATAAAATGAAAACATATGCTATACAGAGTCTATGAAACATAAAGTATGGAAACAATGGCCTCCCCCTCATTGACGCTGAACAATTCCTTGAGTAGTGAAATTTATGGTTAGTATTTCTTTGCATTTTAAAAATTTAACTATAAAGTAATAAATATTCTGTAAATAGATTCTAATAACAAAATTTTTAAAAAGCAAATAACAATTTTTCATTAGTCCTAAAATATCAGGTTTGATGGATTTTTCTTTCACTTTTAATTCCTTCTATGGGTGGTGTGTGTGTGTATGCACGTGTGTCTGTGCTTGCATGTATGTGTGTTACATGTTCACACTGCACAGTTCCAGGGGATGTTGTACACATTGTTCCTGAATGCTAAATCTTCGTATCTCTACTTGGCAAGAAATGATACTTAGACAAGTCCATTAAGTATGAGGCCATTAGCCTGGCCCATCTGTCTGTTCACTAGCCAAGGTTTATGCAAATTCAACCACAGTAAGTTACTTTTTAGGGGTGAAATATAATTGGAATATTTAAAAATAGATTTTACTTAAAAATATCAGTGATAGAAGAACCAACAAAAAAAAGCACTTAGGAGGCAGAGGCAGGTGGATCTCTGTGAGTTCGAGGCCAGCCTCGCTTACAAAGTGAGTTCCAAGACAGAGAAACCCTGTCTTGAAAAATTAAAAAGAAAGGAAACAAAGGAGCGAAAGAAAAAATTAAAAAAAATGCTAATAGAAAGAAAATGTACAATTTTAGAGGATTACAAGATAGCAAAAAATGGAAATAAAATGTAAAATGAAAAATTTTAACTAGGCAGAGTAGGTAGGTAGAAATGCTGTCACATAACTACTACTGTGTCACAAATTGACTGAAATATAAAGAAAAACAGCCTTTTTATTATGTCTTTGGATCAGGAATCCAGTGAATCGATTTGTCACATGGTTTCTCTGATTCTCAAAGCATCCATTCTGTAGTTGGTGGGTGGGTTGTTTTGTTGGTCTAAGACAGCCTGACTTCAGGCCAGACACCTGGCAGGTGGGAATGAGTTGGAACTGACGCCCAACCTCCTGGATGTGGCTGATCCAGTTTGGTGAACCCAAGAGCCTTGGGCTTAGACTTTTCGGGAGTGCTAATGACATCAGGCGCGTGTGTGTGAGAGTTTCTAATCTTGTTTCTCAAATCGCATGAGATCAGTACCTGTCTGCACACCTAGTCAAAGCCATTACAAGGCCTTCTACTATCTCCATTGATATTATCTGTTAAGGAAGGAATGACAGGTTACATTGTAACTGAGCATGTAAGCTAAGAAGTACTGTTATGGTCAGATACCAACATAACATTAAGGATAAATATCAGAAGGGAAACAATAGCATTGAGATGGGCTGTGTAAAATTATAAAAACCAGACTTAAAACTGTACAGAAAAGAACTAAATGTTTTTTAGAAAAATAATATATCATCAGCATGGATAATAAAAATGCCAAAAGTCAAACCCTGTGACTTCTTCCTTTTAAAATGCTAGTGCATAGATTCCTTAGATGGGAAGAGTTGAGAGGAGGAATGAGTACAAACTGTGAATCAGTGGGAAATTCTGTCTCTGTGTGTGCATTTATCTTGGAGAAAGTCTACAACTTTTATCAGAATCTGAAGGGCTCTTGAGATATTTTTAAAAGAGGACTCAAGGACTCAGAAGGTAGCTTGGTGAGAAAAGCCCTGGTTTCTGTGCATAGCCAGGTTTGTGCAGGGGGCAGGGGTGTATAAAAAATCTCCACAGATGTATGATGTTGTGGTTGGTTTTGAAGTCTGAAAACATACAACCTGGACAGTGGACTGGCCCTATGCAGTAGGACCTGGACCTAGTACAGCTCTATGCAGTACTCCGCCGACTTCTCTGTCTGTATGTCATGTCTGTTCCTACCTATCTACCTGTGTGATTTTTGAGGAATGTCTGGATTGGAAAGATTTAGACAAACACACTTTACAAATTGTTCAGCATCTTTGCTCCTGCTGCCAAGATATATATATATTGAAACTAAAGAATGTTTTAGTTTTTGGTGTGACAGTACATTGAACACTCCCATTGATTTAGTTCTGCATACTGTACAGTGAAATAGATATTGGTTTGGTTTTTCTAAAATCTTTCACAAAAGGAAATCATATCATGACTTTAATAGAACAAGAACTCAGATTTATGATTTGGTATAGCAAAAGAACATAGAGGGCTTTGCGTTAGAAACACTGTAATTTCTACACAGAAGTGAGTTTATATCAGTGCTTTACAACACCTCGGTGAAATATCTTTGTTCCTACCTGCATTTCCCACTCCTTATCTCGTGCTTGTACTCAGAAGACAGCAAGGATGAACATTACTTCTAATAAACTAAACATTTTTAAACAAACGTTTTAGAATTTTCTAATTATAGTGTATACCAGGGAGTTTTTCTATCCCCATTTCCAATGCCAAGAACAAACCGAGATTCCTGCTCCAACTCTCCTGAGATTTCTGGGGACCAACCAGCTGCTCCCTTGTGAGCCTGTTATGGCCATTTCTAGCTTGGTGTGATTAGACTTCTGCCTACGGTACAACTTTTGACATAGACAGATTGTACTTTCATTTGCTTCAATCAGCTGTGCCCCTGAGTTACAACTGTGCTGATGTTTTTCAGGGATGAACAAGAAGCAGAAGGTGTCAACCAAGGACGAGCCAGCTTCAAGTAGTAAAGGCAGCAATGCATCACAGGTGCCGTGGCCTCTCGCAAGACTGTGTGTGATTGATGAGTTGCAGTCTCATTAGACTGCAGGAGGTCAATAAATACTCAGGATTATTAAGCCAAAAAATTAACTTTAAGTGGTCATTTCCCTTTAAGAACCAAACTCACTTTAAATGCAAAAACTACATAGCTTGTAGGTAGTAATTAAAGTACATTCGTGTGTATGCACACACGTGCACACACGCGCGCACACACACACATCCCCCTTGTGTCACCAGAGTCTATCATAGATTCCAGGGAATAAAAACAGATTACTAGTTCTGTCCTCTTTAACATTACATTCTACTGGGGGTACTAAATGACAAGAAAAATACCTTGCAGAAAGAGATGTTCAATGTTGTAGTCTGGAAGTGTTGCTAAATGGCGTGGTCGGGAGAAAGTCCTCTGAGGAGTTAAGCTTTGAGAATAGCCTCAGAAGCGAAGAGGACATGCGCCATGTGACTCTTGAGAGAAAGGCTGTTCCAGGCAGAAAAGAAGGACGGCAGGCAAATCTCAGGTTCTTAGAGAGAAAATCAGAATACCCAGGGCGAATGAAAACCCATCTGATGAATAATGAACTTAGCTATTCAAATATCTCAATGACAAACCAGCTTCCACGTCAGGTGCTTTAAAAACCTCTGTGACTTCATAAATGTTGCTGTGAATGTGGCTTGTTTTGGTGGTTGTCGAATCTGGAGTGCTTATTAGTTCTAATGTATGAAAAGATCCCGCAAATTTCATTCTGTTGGCCTTGCTAGAAGCTTGCCAGCCTCCTCTGTAAACTAAGCTCTGAATTCTAGTCATATGTCCTGAGACCACTGGGCTCCATGTTAACATTGTTTCAATTCACTGGCTTTATAAGCGATTTGATAACGATTAGCTACAGAAACGAAAGGATGCAGCAAAAATAGCTGGATATTAAAAGAATGCATAGATATTGTGGCTAGCCCCCATAGCCATCTTAGTTGCTCTTGCCCTTTAATGATGAGCACTCGTTGATGTTTGCTAGAGTATCCCATGTTTACTGTGGTTTTTCAACTGTTTTATGATTTAGTCTCAGAAGAAAGGACAGCAGTCGCAGTTCCTGCAAAGCCGTAACTTGAAATGCATAGCCTTATGTGAAGGTGAGTGCCTGCGCCTCCCACCCTAGCTCCTGGTATCCTAACTGAAGTGTAGTTGCAGAGTGCTCATCGTGGGTTAGTGAGGTATTGTTCCTTAAGACCGTCCCAGCATGCACTGTGGAAAATGAGCACAGTTGAGACTGCAGAGGTCAAAACCAAAGTGCTGAACTGGCGTGGGTCAGACAGCGCCATGTTGTTCCTGGCGGTTTTCCTGAATGTAATTCAACTTTCAGACAGTGTAATTCTTCTGAACTCAGTAGAGACAGATTGAGAGGTGGTTTGCAAGATTGTATTTTCTCCGTTCTTGTTCTAAGGCTACCAGTCACCTTTTCTTTGTGTCAGGACTGTCAGCTGCCATTAGTGTCTTGATTTTCAACACCTGACTGTTCCATGGGACACAAAGTTGCTGTCTGTGTTTCTGACAACAGTCCAATGATTTCTTTCATTGTGAGGTGGCCTTTTGTTGATTTTACTTACATTTATTGATAACTGCTATGGTTAGGCATCCGTTACATGTTCATTTGGACCGCTATTTTTGCGTTTAGATTTCAGAGAGAAGGAAGGTAGTGACTTAATATGGGTTTCTCTTCCTTCCTTTAAAACTAAATAGCTCTGTGATTTCATCTCCCCTTGCAGTGATCACGTCACCTGACCTGCACAAACATGGAGAGATATGGGTTGTCCCAAACACGGATCACGTCTGCACACGATTCTTTTTCGTGTAAGTCTAAATGATCGCATTTCTTAATTGCTTATGCTTCTCCAAATGAAACCGTGACTGCAGTATTATTTTCTCACGTTAATTGCCAAATATAACAAATGACTAATTGAACTTCTCATGAATCTAATGATTGTAGCATTTCAATAAGCTTATTTAGGAAAGCAATGGCTGCATGCTGCTAATCTGGTATTATGTACTTTGATGATGAAAGATTTTAGAACTGGGGACAGAGAAGGCAATAATGAAAATATTCTATACAAACTGATGTAAGTTTCACATAATATGGGCTGGCAAGGTACCGTGTGTTGGCCAGTGTATGCGCTGGCACACAAGAAGACAAACATTTTTTTCATTCCAGATCAACGGCTGCAGTAAGCCAGTCTGACTTTTCATTCTATCTTCGCCTCTGCAGCCCCACTCCCCTGTCTGGCTACACCTCTTCCCTGATCTTAGCACAGAAAGGATTTCAGGAAAGAACTGAGTTATTGTTTTTATTGTTTATGGAGTTTCTAAAAACACGGTGAAAAGTGATGTGGGTTATTTTATAAACACGTCAAAGTGATGGCATCAAAATTGCTGCCATCCCTTATAGGCCCACAGGTCCCTGCGTGTTTTGTGTCTGATCCATGAGCATGCAGCCAGGTTGTTCACTGAGACAGATTCTATGAAAACGCTAATTTTCTTGTGGCATTTACTTACTGACTATAGATTTCACAGCAGTGGATATAACAGCCAGTACTCTGGTCTTTTTTATCAGGGAGTTTGAATTCCAATGCAACAGAAATTAGGAAGAACAATCACCAGGTTGCATAACCTCTTAAAGCTCCGTTGGCAAAATGAGAACAGTATGCCTACCTGCATCAGTTAGAGTCTCAACAGGAACAAGCAGATGGCTCACAAAGAACATGGTGCTTTTATTACCCACAATTAGATGGTTTGCAAAGGCATAACTGTGGGGCAGCAGGATCCAGTAGCAGTAGGATTCTTAGACATCCTCAGGTCCAGGTGGCTCAGACAGGAAGCAATCCACCTGACCAAACCCCACTCAAAGTGGAGGCCAGTGGAGCACAAGGCTAAAGGCCATGCAGGTCAATCCTTGAGGGTCGAATGACATCAGAGAAGGGTTCTGAGGACCCGTGGCTACTAGGAAAGCTTTACCTTATACGATTAATCTGAGATTAAGTTAAACCAATGTAGGTCTCCACTGCAAAGTTCATAAAACATTCTTCTCTCTCTCTCTCTCTCTTTTTTCTTGGCTAGTTAGTTATTATCCATTGTTGGAAGTTTGGACCTCTGGAAAGCAGTCTTCAATTACAAAATTACCTCATTGAATAGACTTGAGATGTTGATAAAAAGATAATTCCAGGTCTTTTTGTGTGATCTCTCTTTTTTTAACTTACAAAAATACAGAACATTTACCGAGCATGACAGTTTTGCATACCTGAGTCGTTCAATTTCCAATATGTCGTTTTGATATTTTCATCAGTGATACATAAATCACATGTAAGGTATTAATTGGGAGATGAGAATGCCCGTTCTCCTTAGAAGTGAAGAGAGGGGAGAAATCCATCTGATGGAAACTGGTGCACCCAGATGCTTTCAAAATGACACAAAACGGGGGTTATTAAGATCATTTTCATTGCTTTATCCACACAAATGAGATGTCATCCTTTCTCTTCGCAAGCTCAGTAGACGAGACTCATTAGATAAGACTGATAAATTCAGAGCACACCAAAGCGAGAATACATTCAGTCATTATTCTGCGTTCTAATTACAGCTTTTAGTATCTTTCTTCATAAAGGACACAACCACAGGTCCTTGTGGCGCACCTCCCCTATGAGTGTAGCATCTAGGAAAAGAGAAAGTGGATGAGAATGAAAGAAAGCAACCGTCAGGCAAAAGCTTAGTTTAAAAAAGTTTTTTGCTTGTTTGTTTACATTGTGTGTCCACTGATGTTAGGAGCTTTGTGTGATGATGCAGATGTAAGTTAATATGCATTTCTTACAAGGAGTCAATGAAAATTCAGTTTCCACGCTACTCTAATTTCCCAGAACTATGGTGGTCGCAAGGTAGTCATTTAGGGTCTTACTCAAAAATTTATCCAGCATCTCATCTCTCCAGCATCTCAGTAACACAGAAGAGAAAACTAAAGCGACCCCCTAGGGGACAGACAGATGCATAACAGAGAGGCATGCTAGGAAGCTGACTGATGTGTAACAAAGTATTAAAATAATACTAAAAGGACTGGACTGCTTTGGGGAGGAAAGATAGAAGTTTGGAAGCTATTTTCCAGGAAATCCCTGAATGACCATGAATAAATATTTTAGGCAAAATGTAGTCAGTCATTCAGATATTATGACCAGATCCCAGCCCATTTCTAGTAGTAAAAATTGTAAGTTTGATTTCCCACCAACTTGGAGACCCGTGTGCAAACATATTGGGACGTTTTATGTGTAAAACTGAGAGAGCTGATTTCCAAGGGGCCATAAGGTGGGCTGAGAGAAAAGACCAAGCACACAGAATTATAGGACACACTTAGTGAAGTGTCAGCCTCTCCTCTCCTTTTCCCCCTCTCAGTCCTGAATCACACTCACTGTGTAGCACAGACTCGTCTCATGCTCCCAGCAATCCTCCTACTTCAGCATTCTGAAAACTGCGATAATAAATCTGTACCACACCAGACCTAGTAAGTTATTTCCCAATGAACAAGAGGATTTTTAAAGATGGAGATGAGAATTTGCAATTGTAATTTTTCATAATTAGGATAAATTAATAAAATCAGGGGTGGTTAATTGACCTGGCAGATGGCCAGGTGTGGGCCCCCCCCAGTTTCCATCACTGCACAGGAAATGGCCAGGAAGGGTGGGAGGATGCCCTGTCTCTAAGCAGTGCAGGGCCCAAGGTAAGATTTGGTCTGGCAATGAGAGCCTACATGCCCCAATGCTCCCAGCATCTCCACAGTTGGTGGAGTCAATTATGAATGGTACATGTTCTTCGATTAGGAAGTAAATGAAGAGTATGGAGCCACCCCTATTTCTGAAAACATTTGAGCAAGTTTACAAGCATAACAGTGAGAAGGATCACATGAAACGTTTTCTCTGCAGAAAATAGGGCCAGACATGCCAGGTCCTTGGACCAAGCAGATCTATGTAGTTCTATATAAATCTCAGGGTTTCCTCTTTAGTTCATTTCACCTTTTAAGGGGTAGTTCAAGTATCCCCTCTTCTCTAAAATTTCTAGAAAATTAGACTAGAAGACTGGTGTCTTGGTGTTCTTGTGGCTTATGACAGAACTTGCTTTTAAAATTTAGCTCATTCTTCTTCAGAAGGAATGAAAATTCTTGAAACAAAGTTTCCTTCCCTTGTCTCTCTCTGCCCCACATCCATCCCTGCAGCATTTTGTACCTGACTGACACCTATTCTTCCGTAACTCTTCCCTTTTTCTTTTTGTCTTTCATGAGACAGGGTCTTACTATGTAATCAGTGGTGCCCCTTGAACTCAGCCATGGCCCTGGTGCCTCAGCTTCCTAAATGCAGGGATTATATATAGTTTTGGCATAGCATTGAAAAAGTGAAACTGTTTTAGGCACATACAAGAATGTATAAAATAAGAAATTTATAATGACCATTAGGTAAAATAAACATCATCTTTAATTATGAGTTTGTAAAAGGTAGACACTGCTCAACTGTAGACATCCACAGGAAAATTGGAAAATTACAAAATTAGAAGACAGAACATTGCCTTTGCCAGTAAAGGCATTTGTGTGTGAATCATAAACACAAATAGGGCTGAGGAACTGTGCTGGATTTCTGGTGTATCACAAACCCAGTCTGTCTCCGCCCAGGCTCCCTTTCTAACCTTAAGCTGTCCACTGTGGCTGCCGCTTACTCGTGAGAGTCTCGTTGACTCACATACTGACGCCTTCATCCTCTCGTCTTTGCCGTAAGGGGAGGGGAGGCTGGTGTGCAGCTTCTGACCCACCATGGCTGCTGCTTTCATGCCTTGGGTTGCTGAGCTTCACACCCCACAGCCGTGCACTGTGATTTCCACTATCAAGGTTCTGTTCTTTCTCTGTGAAGCATGGATTCTGTCCGCACACTCATATCCATGTGCCTAATTCTCACTCCTCGTCCAAGTCTTCCTTCATGCCTCCTTCCTTCCCGAAGCTTCACGGTGCTTCTGTTTGGTGTGAACTGGGTAATGAGCAGGGTATATTTCTGTTGTGTTATCCATTTTTAAGCATGACCTTCTTTCTTGTTCTGCATCTTTGCAGTCCCGTACTATGTGAGTCCATTTGTCTTTGGTACCTGGTGTTTGTCCGGTAGGGAGAGTGAAGGCCTGCATTTTAACTTCTCAATGACTATTTATTCTCAAACATCCTAACAATACCTTTAAAAAATCAGTATATACAAAGTGGAACCCATTATTTAAAACCCCCTTCGTAACTCCTCAATAACTCTTATCTATGCAGTAATTTCATATATCAAACACTAAAAGCTGAGCTGTGGTTTTCCATGTTCTTTCCCTTCCTAAGTTTTATCTTTTTACTGTTCTCTCCTATCAATACTTTTTATCCCTGTAGCTCTAAAACTGTCTCCCACGGGATTCATCAGAAAGCTCTTGTTCCCCTGCTTTTAATTTCATTGCCCTCAAAACTAATTTTGTACAATGAGAGATTTATTAAGTATTGCGATTTTTAGGCTGATGATTCAGATTTAATATGCAGAAATTTAAGACAAGAAAAAAAGGAGAAACACTAATCTACTTTTGAAGCCCTAAGACATTTGCATGCTAAGCAACTGCTCAAACCCATAGCTGCATTCCTGGCCCCTGTTCTTCAGAGCAAACTCAAGCATAGTGAATTTTACCTTCTCTAACTTCCTTGTCAGAAATCACATGCAAAATTAACCTTTAGATTTGCAATTGTCTCTGTACTCCTAAACTGCCTCATCCCTGCCTTGACACTGTAGGGTGTGTGTGTGTGTGTGTGTGTGTGTGTGTGTGTGTGTGTGAGATATTCTGTTCCCTTCCCTCATGAAGTTCTCCTCATGCTTGGGTACTCAGGTCACAGATGGTTTACACAGAAGCAATTAGTGCATATTGGTTGGAAGAATCTATAAAACATGGGGCTGGAGAGATGGCACAGTGGTTAAGAGCATTGCCTGCTCTTCCAAAGGTTCTGAGTTCAATTCCTAGTAACCACATGGTGGCTCACAACCATCTGTAATGAGGTCTGGTGCCCTCTTCTGGCAGACAGAATATTGTATACATAATAAATAAATAAATATTTTTTAAAAAGTATTTACAAAACAAAATGATTTATTTTAATGAAGAGATTATATGTGAGTATAATGTGTTTTAGATGTATTACATAGGTGGCATCTATGGAAAATGGTATTAAAAAAAGACGCAAGGATTGGAAGTCTGGAGATGAAGTTTTAGGAATCAACACGTGGATGGTAGTTAAAACTGGGGAGAGGCTGAAAGGGTTGACCAAGTTTAAAATATCCAGGAGAAAAGGAACTGGAATTCATTGTGTTCTGGAAATCATTAAGCTATGATGATGAAGAAGAAGGAGAGGCAAAGAGATTAAAAATAATAATCAGAAGCTAGGTAGCTAAGAAATGAAACAATGTAGCTGAGAGACAGAGGCAGAGATAAAGAAGCAAGCGAGCAATAGAGGGGTGAGCTATATGTTACGTGTTATACCCAAAGGAGACAACATTCCCTGAGTGCATCAACCAGGAGACCTGGAAAGAGTTTTCCTGACTTAAGTAGAACATTAAGGTCAAGAGAGAATATGTAGACAGGACAGCCAAAAATGGGACATTACCATGATTTACAGACAAATCCTATTTACAGGTCAATTTCACATTGCACAGCGAGCAGAGATAGTAGTGTTTAAGCTGAACGTCAGTTAGGGTAAGCACGAAAGCCCAGTTTGCATAGGATGCCATAGGTGTGGAGAGTGTACCAAAACTGTAACCAAAAAGAAACCAACTTGAACGAGACAATTTAAAGCCACATAGAGGCAATAATCTGGAGTTGGAAGGTCACAACCAGCAGAAATGTTGCGAGCTGCCGCTCTGCTTCTCTCCCCTGGCAGGATGGTTTTCTCGGTGTCTATTCAACTCTCTTCCTCTCAGCCTCCAATCTTCAGATCCAAGGTCCGGAGAGTTTATCTTGTGTTTTCACAATAAACACAGTTACCCATCTATATGCCAAGCCAACCTCCTCCGTCTTTTAAGAAATAAGGACACAGCATCCTCGTTTATGCAAAAACAAAGTCAATATGGTTTTTTAGTGTTTCTATTAGAGTAACAAATTTATTATGACACTTCATACATGCATATAATGCATTTCAATTGTTTTCTACTCTTGCATTCTCTGACCCTCTCCACCTCCTATCAATCCCCTTCCTTTTCTTAATTATAGGACAATATGTTTTGCTTAAAGGATACCTTTATACAACATCTGCTCCCAGACATCTGATTTAGTTTGAAGAACTGTAACATATTTTCTAATTCCTTTTTAATTTATTTTTTACATATGCATATGCATGTTCTTATGTGAACTTATGTGTACCATGTCCAAGTAGGAGTTCTCATAGGCCAGAGGGCATCAAATTTCCCGGAAGTGAAGTTTTATGCAGGTGGCTGTTTGTGAGCCACTTGATGTGGACACTGGGAACCAAACCTGAGTCTTAAGCAAAAGCAGTGTTTCTTCTTTTATAAATTTTAATGTGGCATTTACTGTTTGATTTCCTGAGAAAATATTAGTGTTTGGATTATGTACCATGCATTTTAAGGACTCCCATCTTACAATAATGTTACAACACTAGTTAGAATAAGAAGGGCAAGTTGTAACTAGAATAATAAAATTGTATGGTCAGAATTAAACAGATTTATCAATATCCTGGACCAGCTCCAGTCTTGCAACTTGGACTGGATTCAAGTGGAATCATCTCTTGGTCTTTAAGCGGTCTTGTTCTGTGTTCCAGTGTTTTATTTTCCCACCCCGTGCTGTCTCAGGAGAACTTAAGTATGGTGAAGAAAAGACAGAGGCATGCATTAATCTCCGGGACACTGTGCTTATGCCTCTGGTTATCTATTTTGCAGTAATTACCACTTCTCTGCAGCTTCTTTCTTGAAGGCAATTTTCAGTCACAAGATTAATTCATCACCTATTTCACTCTGAATATTATCATTTCAAGTTTGAAAATTTGCTCTTTGGAAATTCTAATTGCCTACGTCAGCTTATTTGAGGAAATGAATTATCTAAGATGTAATTGTTTCTTTCCCAAGCATTTAGCAATTGCTGTCCTTTAGTAGCATGTCTCCACCCTTGCTGCTAGGCTGAGCTTAACAGGCTTGCAATCTTATGCAGCATAAATAAAAAAACAATATTATGAACCCAAGAGAATGAGTTACCAGTTAAGAATTAACACTGGAGCGCTGGTCATACAAAGCAGTAGTTAGAAGGCGGGCATGACGAGGACACAGGGATAGAATGAGAATTCAGTGCAGCCAGCTGGGACAGGATAGCTGAGAAAGTAGTGCAATGAAGATGTCCAGAACCCAAGGCATAGAAAGATGAAGGCAGTGGGTTGTTCTGCAGTTGACGTCACGGCAGCTGTTAGGAAAGATGCTTGCAGTGACAAAGACACGTGTGTCCCTGCAAGTCTGGCAATGTTTTACGTGGGATGAAGGACTTTATGTTGAAATGAAAGGCAGGGAATATATTAAGGTATGGTGAAAAAGAACCAACTATGCCGAGTTTCCTCTTGAACACACATTAGATGCTGCTTTTAAAAAAATGACCCTGTGGTTTTGGTTTCCTTGTGTTGCTTCTAGGAATCAAACAACATTTGAAGTCATACAAACACTACCATTGTTATCCATGTTTCCCATTTCTGCTTTCTCCTGTAGCTATGAGGACGGCCAGGTGGGCGACGCCAATATCAACACGCAGGAAGGAGGGATTCACAAAGAGATCCTCCGAGTCATCGGTAATCAGACGGCTACCGGCTAGAGAACACCGCTGGGCAGGGTTTGACAGCTTCCTCGGGTTCAGAGCTGGATTTTGAACTGAAGAAGATGATGAAAAAATAATTTATTGTTATTATAAACAAAATTAACCCTTTGAATACCAATTTTTCTTTTCTTAGTATTTCTAAATATTTCATTAAATACCTAAAACGGTTTAAGACTTACCAATTGTAGGGTTATGAAATCTAGTAATAAACGTTAAACAGCACTGAAACTCAAGTTTGGGTTGCGTATACAATAAACAGATTGAAAAAAAAACACTTTTGCGCTGATGATATTTTTATATTAAATTCTTTAATTGGACATTTGGTATTATGTACTGCTGTTTTAGGGTACTGCAATAGAATTGAGGTCATCTTATAGTGGCTTTTAAATCTACCAGACAGTCCACAATAAGTACAAGGCCTGCACGTTGTGGTGTGTTCAGTATGAGTCACACGAACATTTGAAGGCTGTGGGAGGCATAGTCCTCTTCTCACGGTTTCCCTTCTAAGACAGCAGTGAGGGTCCGAGGCAGTGCCATGCCAGAAGGCATGCAGGACACTCGTCTGCGGATTTCACGTGTCAGAATGTGCGACTGTGCATATGCATGCTTGTTCACACATGGATTTTGACAACGGATGGGTAGCTTCATCGTGCTGCCACGTAAAGAGCAAAACTCACAACCAATAAGCAGTAAGTTTGGTCCTAAACCACGATATGAGCCAAATTTGCTATAGTTCATTCACACACACACACATACATTCGCAGACCCATTTTTTTTTCAGTTATTTGAAGCAATATCCCATTGGTTAATATAACTAATTTAAAATGTTATCTGAAATTCAACTCAGAAAAGGCAATGTCCCTGGTGATTTAAATCTGTGTTTACATACTCATCTGATTAAAAGTAAGTGGGGGGGGCACAGAATTAAGAAACAGAAAGTGCACATTTTTATTTCTTCCAATGAAGTTTTTTTTGTACCATATCTGTATTTTTATATTTTTCATCTGCTACCTCTGCTAATTTTTTTCATATTGAGAAAGAAGATAAACTGTCTAGCTTCTTTTACATTAAAAGAACACAAGCTTACAGAAAGAAGCTCACCCCATCTTTCAGCTCTTCTTTGACTCATGTGCTCATCAAATCCTTTCTGTTCCTTTGAGTCTTAGGGTCATAGGCATTTCAAGTTTTAACTGTCAGTGTTTATTTTGCTGTTGGAATCAGGGCATTCATGAAAGCGGTTTAATTAGTGAGTCTGCCACTCTATTCAAATCCTGAGTCACGGCTTATATCTGATTTTAATTTATGTAAACAGGAAAAAATACAAGCGTGTCATCATTTGCAAGTGTGGTGTGATAATTTGCGTGTTTATTTCCTTTGGCATAAAAGGTGAGAGATGGGCCATGCATATTGTCAGGGGTTACAGTTTAGGAAGATTTTACTGATATTTGTTTTTCTTCTATTGTAAATAATTGAAATGCTAGTACTTCTACAAAAATACAAAATTGAAGAGGTTAAGATTCTAATCAGCTTCATAGTGTCTACTTAAAGAAGCATCAGCCTGTTCTGACTTGTGCCTCTGAACTATGGAGTAACATTAGCCTGGTAGAGCGTTTATTGAGTGGTCAGTGACCAGGTATTTGAAGGCTTGTGTGCGACGAGAATACCATTGCTTCTTTCTACCGGATCTCCTAAGTCATTGTAACAATATTTTGAGATCTTTTCTAGGCAACAACAACACAAAGAAATAATTTTGTGGGACATTCTACACACGATAAAAATAGAAAGATGTAACTTCTAAGTTTAACAGGGGGGATGTCTTAGAATCCCCTCCTATTAGGCCGTCTGTGAGGAACCTCCAGGAAGGCTGGAGAATGCTTTCTAGCTTAATTGGAAAACTGCTGACCTGATGAATTATGCCTTTGCTTAATAGGTGGGTGATCTGTAAGGAGTGGAGCCCTAGAATCTGAAGGGTCACCTGTGCTTGTACTCAAGGGAGATAATTTAGAGGAGGGAAAACTGGCATCAAAAACTTCTACTGCCAATTTAAGAGTACAAGAAAATTTCCCTATCCAAGTAGAAAAGTAAATGGTAGTTTGATACCCACTAAAAACACATAGTGATAGGCGTTTTTATGACAATTAAATGAGATGTCTTATAATGATCATCAAGTTGTATTACTTTCCCAGAATTAGTGCCCAAAAGTTGCATCAGAACTTTTATAAGCACATATTCTAAAAAGAATAAACTTTTGTTAACATTTTGAAATTGGAACTGCTATGATACACTAATGAAAATGCTTATATTTCTAAAGGATCTAATTTCTACTAATACCATTAAGATGTGAATATCTTACATTCAAAACTCAAGCAGATCTCTAAGAGATTCAGTCACCACTAGCATTCGATGACTCAGCCTCCCATTCTGGTATTAGTGTTTGATGATTCTAGACAGTTGCGATAGTATTACATATTAATAATTATTGGAATCTACCCATTGCCTTTTATAACAGTAATATTAGTTCTGTTGTTATTGAAACTCATCATTACTTTATTAAGGAAGCTTCATTCTTGAAGTAGAGTGTGAAGACATTCTTTCCTGCATGGCTGATTTTATGGAACCTTTCATTAGGAAGAAGTCTTCCTCTTTCACTGAGGAAATAACTTTCACGGAGATGAAATAACTGGAAATGGGAGAGGAGGAGAGTGTAATAATACAGAATTGATCCTGTTCTGCAGAGTGTATCATGGTGAAGCACTTTGGTGTGCCCAGGAGTGAGTTATGCTGCTGGTTCATCTCAGCAGATGTTGGGTTTGAAGCTTTTTACATCCTAAACTTGAATTGTAAGGCTGCCATATCCTTGGAGTTGTTGTGAACTACTGTAGGACATGAATCCAAATTGCTATGAATCTTCCTGCTTGGGAATTTCAAGAATTTGCAGTAGAAATCCCCCAGTTTTTCTCTCCTCTATTGAAAGAAAGCATGCATTTAATATGGAAGTATAAAATTTTTAAATTAATATCACTTGAAGAATTTTAGCAGTACTTATAACATTTCATTAATCATAATTTGCTTCAGGGCATGAGATTTCAGAAAGCATTCAGGAAAAACTCGCCCGCAACTTTCATCAGATAGTAATTTAATATCATTAAGATATTGCTCAACCTTGGATCATCTCTCACCCAAATAAGTAAAGGTTTGACGGTAGCCTTTGAAGCACATTAAAGAAACATAATAGCCTAATGTCCTGCTGGATTTTTCATTCTAACACTACCTCAGCACGAAAGAGAGACTGCTTGTCAAGGCAAATTGGTTTCCAGAATAAGAAACAGATACAGTTTTGCAAACACAAGTCATCAAATAATTCAACAGTTAAGACCATGGTAGACACAGACATTGCCAACCGCTTCCCCACTCTGTAACGTAGGCAACAGTGATTAACGACGTAGTTAACACTGAGGCGAGTTATTTGAAGGATTTAGTGGCATGAGAAGTTAATTAGTTCTCTGTAAAGTTCGTTTTCTACCTGGGCTGCTTTCATGGCCATTCACTTAAGAGTCACTAGCGGTTACCCACACGAAAGAGGTCAAAGCAAAACAACACAAGATAAGCCCAACTGCTGTGCCAGAATTCCAACCTGAATATTCAAATATTTTGACAATTAATGCCTACTAAATTTTTGTCAGCTCACATATGAATTGGTGTATATTATTACCCAGTAATTTTTTCCTTGGGAATTTTGTACACACTATGAAATATAGACTTAAGTTTTGATAGGTCAAAAGTATTTCAAGTAGCTTGTAGTCAAAACATATCCATGAGTGTGAAAAAGCTTTGTTGAAGAATAGATTACATTATACATTTACCAGCAAGTCAATAAAAAATAGTGCTTATTTACATAGTCAACATAATTTAATGTTCTAAAAACAATTTCTTCAATCTGCCCAATATTTAATGTATCATTTGAGATTTTAAAAACTGCAGCCACTCCTTTATGTAAACGTTAAGGTATGCCTATGTTTCCTTGACTATCCAACCTTCTTTACAATAAATTTCTTGACTTTTGTGCACAGACTAGTATTGCAACCTGCTATTTAGCCTTTGGTGCCTTAGAGTTATTATAACTATTTAACAATATGTACATAATGTAAATACTGCCAAGAGATCACTAAGGCCAAATATTTTCTCTATTCCCTTTTTATTGCACTTGCTTTCTATTGCTCCTTCAGCCTCTTTTATCCTGCTTTGTAATAGTTCTAACATTGTGGCCAATGTAAATGTTTACTTTCAATAAAACTAAATTTGTTCAACCAGTCTGTATGTGGGCACTGTTTGGAAGACTTGGGGAGACACCCATTATTCCTGTTGGTAAATCTTGCTTCTAAAATTCTATATATTGGATGGTTCTCAATAAACGCTAAACATGATGTTACCCTTTTGGCCTAAAATTTATTTTTTAAAAAGAGGGCAAAGAAGCCCTTACCATTATTCCCAATACTGTTGCAATAGGTATAATTGGAGATGCGATCGCTGTTACAGCTTCTGATTCTCTATCAGTTCTGATTCAGAAGTAAAGTGTTGAAATGAGGTTTTTAGACATTTTATATGCTTCTGCTCATAGTGCCTGGGTAAATATCACCAGAAGCAATTCAACTGAATCATTTTTTTTTTGTAGACTGATTAATCATGGCAAAAAAAAAAATTGAAGGAGAGTGGGAAGGCAGTGAGACAGGGTTTCCTCCTTCACCTAGGCTGGCCAAATACTCAAGTCAGGGTGGCCCAGAATTTACAGCAGCCCTTCTGCCCTGACCTCGGAATGCTGTAATTACTGACCGTGAGACACCATATTTAGTTACAAGAAGATTTTTAGCTTATGTACTGCAGAAGTAAGCACACAAGATTTTCAAAGCATCACTTTTTAAATATATCACCTCATTAACTGAATAAGAGATTAATCTTTGCATAAATACAACCCTCTAGACAGTAACAGTATAATGACTACCTGTTTATCGTCTCCTAATAATTTTTGTAGTGCATTTATAATTGAGAAACTTTTAAGCAGCAAACTTCTGTTTAGTAGAGTTCGTTTCAGTACCTCTAGAAACAGCTGATAAGAATGTCTCATGCTGGTTGGTGTTCAGTGGAAAAATGGGAAAGGTTGGATTTGATATGCAGCTCATGAGTTAAAGTATACTTGTGAAACTATAGCAGGTTTGGGAATAATTCAAGAATAACATAAGCCTGATGATGCTAAACAAAAAGTCAAATAATGGTGCTGCTGGAGAAAGAACAGATCATCTACATCAGAGTCGTGAGGAAAATAGCACCAAACGCCCACAAGGTTAGCTGGATCAACTCAAGGCTGAGACAGAAGAGAAAGGAAATCATACCACAGGGAAAATAGTTCGAGAGACGTAAAGGTCTTAGGTGACCCCACAGAAGTCTTGAAAAGAAGTTTACATCAAATGAAGAGAAAACTACACTCCAGGTGGTACTTTGAATTTTTAACTTGGTACAGTGATTAGAGTTTTATCTACTTGTTTGATCAAATACTTTCACTGTTCTCGTCCACAGTGTAGTACTCACTCTAGCCTGTCCAGGGCTGTCCAGGTTCATGAGACTTTGACAAATTCCGAGGTAACTGAAATCAAGACATCTTTTTTTTTTTTTTTTTTTTTTTTTTTTTTTTTTTTTTTTTNTTTTTTTTTTTAGATAAACAGACACGTTAGTTACGTCTCTATTTTGTTGAGTCCTTAAATTTTCAATAAGGGTCTTTCAGTCCCTGCAACATTTGCTTGGCTTTCTCTTCTTAGGAGCTATTTGAGAGTGTGGCTCTCAGTTCTAGCTTCGCTTCATTTACCTTTCCTAGTTCTCAGCTGCCCTGCTTATGTAACGAGCCCTGGCTAGTCCAGTGAAAAATCCTCTTTGCTTTTAAAAACTTACATGGGATGGTTTATTTAAGATTCACTCACTGAAAACTGGCTGAATATTATTTGGCTTCTGCTTCTGTTCCCATATGTTAGTCCTTTAATCTGGACAAAAATACTTATAATTTGCTAAGAAGACAAATATGCCATTCCCCTGTGTCCATCGAGCTTTGATATCATATGATTCAAAAACCACCAAGCATAGATCTCTTTTTGACTAAATGTTCAAGGACATTTGGCAGTAACCAAAGTTCTTACCGGTGAACCAAGAAATGGTTTGACTACCTACTTCTTGACTTATGTCTGAAGAGAAATCAACTCCCTTTTATTTTATTCCATTCTACCATCTAATCAGTTCTCATGCTCTGTTAATTTCCCTTCTATGTGTTGACTGTGTACTCAATTATCTTAAGTCATATTTGTAACTTCCTTTGTTAGGTTTTATGTGGGTTATCCAGATGCCCTTCAAACTGCTCTGCATGACAGAATCCACTAGTGTTGGCCAGGAATAGACTCAACTCATGAATAATATTCATATTCTGCAGATGCTCCTTGAAGTCTCATATTACTCGGATGGAGCAACTGAACAGTTGACATAGCACACATTAGACCCTCCTGCCACAATATGAATTCCAGATAATAGGCACCTAGAGCTTCCTAATTGTCTGCTTTTCCCAACACCTAAACCAGGATGATTTTCTAAAATCTAACTCTAATTTTGTGAGTCCCCTGTCTAAACACCTTCCATCTCTCTCATTCTCTTATGTAAAAATTTCTCACCAACTTCCTACATATGGCCATTGAAGATCTGACCCCAGCCTCCCTCCAGCCCCCATCACCATTTTGCAATGGGACTGCATGGTTCACTTACAGTTTGAAGAGCCTGTTGTTTTCAGCATCCTCACACATGTTCTTTCCACCAGTCCCAATTTTTATCTCCAACATCTATTGACCATGAATGTGTTTTCATTTCTTCCAAAGTCTCCCTTCATATTCAGTAACATCACGGCTCATCTTTCTCAGCACACCTGCTTCTTTTCTTATAATCATCAGGCTCAAATTATTTTGTTTTATTGTTTTTCATTAACATACAAAATAATTTTCTTTATTGTGATACAGTTGTGTGCTGCCTTGAGTGTACTGCGAAATTGAACCTGGGGAACCTCTAGAAGAACAGCCAGTGCTCTTTGTCTTTGAGTCATTGCTCCAGCCCCAGAATCAGATTCTTTACAGCATTTTCCCACTTGACCACATATGTACTGTATAAAATTCCAAATGCCCATATGCTAGAAATAGTTTTCAAAATAAGTAGCAGAATTAAAAGTATTTAGGATAGACATTCTAGTTGATATAAATCATTGTATTTATAAGTCTAAAAAAATTTGCCCTTTGAGCAAATACAACAAAGTTACCTATCATTATCATCATCTTTATCATCTCCTCCAGCTCTATCACTGCACAAAAGTACAGGAACCCGAGAACTGGAAGTGTCTATCAACTCTCCCTGTCATTCTTGAAGAAAATGTTTCCATATTAACTATACATTAAAGAAACCCGGGCTGAAAGGTCATTTGGAGGACCCAGAACAAAACATAAAATCAGATACTTGCACGTTTATAATTTAATGACAGTAATTTGCATAACGGAAGGATCGTTGCTTTGCTAAATAATCGCCTTAAATAATGTACATCCCTGACATATTTAAGAGTTCATTTACAGGTCATTAGCTGCTTGACATACAAGAAAGTTGGATACTTTCTACTAATCTATCAATAAAAATAAATGAGTAATGGAATTAGTACATCTGTAATTACAAGTCAGTGGGTAACTAAGGGTGCTTCCAAAGGAATTGCTTTCTTCTGACAAGCTATAAGTTGTAACCGATCTCAATTTTATTGCATAGTACTCTGACATCCAACTTAATTTTGCAGCTATATAATTGGCAACATTTCCTTTTTTTATGGGTTTCCTGGTTGACTTCTCGATGTCTATTTAATAGTTGTAAGTTACAGCAAAGCTAATTTTCTACTTCAGTTGTACAGCAGCCTTAGAGTGATTTAACTTTTCGTGTTTTTTTTTTTCCGTGAAAAGTTTTCTCTAAGTTGTTGCCTGGTGCAAATATACTCAGAGTTGAAGATTGAATTCATGCCACTCCTTCAAGTACATGCACGCTTCTTGGCTTACACAATCATATATTAAAAAAAAACAAACCTCTCCATGCTCCACACCTATAACACTTTGCAATTCCTATTGAGTCTCAACTTGGAATTATCACCATTTCTAGGACTCTTTTGTAAAACAAACAAATAAATCAATATTAAACTTCATGCCTAAATACTATCCTTTATCAATTGTAATAGTCTCTGTGTTAATATTATGCTTCACTGTGTATATTTACTCTGTTAAACGTTGAGTGTTTAATTTTTAAACATCATTTAATGGCTTTGTATTTCTATTAATATTACTGAAGAACATGACAAAAGAGTGAGTCCAGTCTCACACTTTTTTTTTTTTTTTTTGGAACACTTTCTTCTCTTTCCCCTATAAGAATAGCTTTGGGGAAGAGGCGATGGTCCCTACTGTGTATTTTACCGTAACAACTTAATGAATAACAGTTGATCCACCATTTCCATTTCATGGGAGTTTGCTTAGTTTGTTGGGTGTGAAAGATACTGCTTATTCATTGGACATGACGCATGGTAGGAAGCTGCGCATTAACATCAGAATGCATCTGAACACTGCGCAACTCACCTTTCAATACACAACGTTCAAAAACACACATAGAAACAAATATGAAATTCCACTAGCATATTGATGCTTAGAATCACAGTTCAATATCACCTGCTTACTGTGGTCAAGTGTACTGTGTTCACTTACATGGCTCTGGTTATGAAAGTTTAGAGAAGCCTGCCAGCACATTTTCCCATCAAAATACCACTTGAGTCTTCTCCTGAATCCTTATCTCTGTTGAAGCCAACTCCCTTCCCAAAGCTACCATGGAAAGTGTGTCTCTTGTCTCTGTCAGCTCAAACTTGACAAGATTAAATTCAGAATTTCTGACTCCTACTGTTGGTGCTAAAATTTTGTTATTTATCTAAAACACTGTTTTTCATCTATGGAATATATCGGGTTATGACAAGTATTCTCTAAGAGATTGTCTTTCACCTTCAAGACAAGGCTTTTGCTTTAAAAGACTCTAGAGTTTAGAGGTCAGAAGAAGCTTTCTGCTAGAAGCGGTTGCATTCCAGTATCATGGCTGCTATTACAGGTGAAGACACTGGATATGAAACCTCTAGGTGCTCTCTTGCTCAGAAGATGCTGTGGGTTAATTTCCAAATGGGTCACACCTTCCGTAGCATCTCAGCTTTGTGGGGAGCATGCTGTGATCCCTGTTCTCCCTCTCTGTCTGTGTATGATAAAAATCACCTGATTTACCCTTCAGTCTTAGCCAAGCTAGGATTCTCATTAATTCCTGAGTTTAGCA